GATCAATTGAGTAATTCGTAAAAACTAATTTTCTAATTTTCGTAAAGTATTCAGCAGCTTATCTTATATCTTTACAATAACTTATATCAATATTGTCAAGTTAATAACAAATACCAACGTTTTAATAAGGAATTCAATTTTTAAAATCTAATTTTTACACAGAATAAAAATTAATTTTAATCGTTTTAAATGGACTTCCAATAAAGTTCTTTTATTCTTAACTTATAGAGAAAAGCTTGCAAACGCAAGTTGTGTGGAGTTTAAAGTTACGTATGAAAGTTACTTTAAATGCTTAGAAAACGAATAATGCGCACGTAAAGTGTCATACTGTTGAATGAGTTGAATTAAAACATAATTAGTTCAAAACTGAAACGTGGTTGTTGCCAGCATATCTACGTTGACAAATTCATCGACATTAGTCTAATTGTTATACTAAATTAGCGAAAGCAGAAATGACAGTGACAAATTAAATTTGAAGAGCTAACAATTCATCACTGATTTACCAATCAACGCCAATCTTGAATTCCAATTACAAAGGGATAGTAATATGTCATGCTCAATGTTCTGATACGCTTAAATAAATATTATATTTCACCTACTAAGCAGTGTTTATTTAACAATTTATGTATGAGGCGTCGATTAAAAGTTTTAATTAAATAGTTACGCTGTTCATTTTGAAGGCCAGTAAAGATGCATTCTAATGTTAACTAAATGTTTATCATTGACTTATTTTTGATAAAAATTTTTACATTTTTCTAATATCAAAAGTTAACCCTATTATTATTTTATTTCTCATAGCTCAAGATCATTTAAACTAGCTTACGTAACACCCCATTTAACGTATAGGCCACTATGAACTTACTAACACACAAAGGACAATCTCACTCAATTAAATAAAAAATATTGTTTTTACCACCCTCTTTCTTCGCAAAAAAATTTATACTCGAAACACCCTAGATAAATTTTAAGTAACTTAGAAAAGTGCCTTAAGTATGGGTACCTTTTAAGGTACACACTAAGAAAATCGCAATTTTACCAGTAATCATTGTTTTGATATTTTATAAAACACAAAAATGACATAAAAGAAAAATTATTTTTACAAATTTTCTCATTTGCAATGCCACCAAAAGAATAAGAACTAAGTTAGACCTAAAATAGTCTAGTCTGAGATAGATAAGTAATCAAAAGCAACATAGTAAATAGTCTAGTAACTAGTAACCAGTCTAAAGTAACTAGTCTAGATAAATGATCAAAAGTAACATCAATTGCTTAGCAAATAATAATGCTAATTTAAGAAAGTAATATTTTATCAGTTTGAACCCTGTAGCAGAAAGTGAATTCAGGCATTTTTAAAAAGACATCGAACATTTTGCACGTAATAATTAAAGTCATTGCTTTTAATTACTATTAAATTTTATATTTTTTGCTGAAAGTTTAATTATGTTTCATGAAAAATTCATCATGTTGATTTAATATTATTTCTAGTGTAGGCAAAAATTCCTATGTTTAAAAATAATTATACTTAAAACAATAATTCTAATTTGCAAACTTGATATATTTCTCAGTGTTTATTTTACTGTCCTATTATTGACTTTGAAATAAGCTAAGAAGGATCGACATAATACCTTTAAAAAAATTTAAGAAATAAACTTCACAACAAGTAAAGTAAAAATGTAGCTGACGGAAGTGAGTAAATCAGCTTTGTCTTGAAAAATAGCATTTACTCGAAAAGTTGTAAAATATAGTTCAGCTTCTACTTAGATCAACTCTTGAAGTATGACCTCGATTTATCGCAGTCAACAACTAAGTAGAATTTATTTGATGAACACGAAACTGCTTGGCCTTTCAGTCAAGACTAGAATTTTATCGAGCCCTTTAAATGTTAAAAAAACATAGACAAAATAATTGAATCGATACGTATAAGTTCATTAATATAGCATAAGCTTACAGAGAGATCAACACATATTTGTCTTAAAATTTTAATTAATTTATAAAGTTTTAATTTTCCATGCTTACAATTTAAGACTTTTTAGAAGTTTGTTATTCTTCTGTCTTATAATGACTTCAAACAGTCTTTATTTTTTTTTAAAAGCGAAGAAAATTTGTTATTTATCTATCCATCTATCTATATATATATATAGANTTTATATATAAATTACTCAGCTTAATAAAATCAAAATGTACAGTATTTAAACTATCCATTGGGTATTTTTTCTGTTTATATGGTAACGGTTTACCTGAAAATTCTGGCTTTCAAAATTATCGTTCGTATTTCCACACATTTAGTAAAAAATACAGAATTGGAAAGTACATATTACAGAAAAATAATTTGTTTGTCATGATCTAAGGTATCATTATAAAAATTACTAAACTTTATCACATATTATAAAACCATATTTTACTAATTTTGACATAATCATTACCAAAGCAATTCGGTCAAAATTTCCGATTTGCGTTAGAGCCAGAAACATGGTAAATTTTACAATATTCTGGTAGTTATGACCAATTTTAATTAACGCGTATAGCGTGTGTTATTGACGTCTATTAACAGCAACTTAGCTTAAAATATTTTCATAATTTTCGTACTTAAATTGACAGACGAATAAAAAAAACAACTAAGTAAAAAATTTAATGAGACAGATATATACTTTTTCCTGAGTCATGTTTTGGAAGCTAAATTTTTCCCCTCATTGATTTAAAACTTTAATCATTGGATAATAAAAGTAACAATATCATTTGCAGCAATGTGATATATTCAGCATCAAAATATAAAATTAACAGTCCATCATCCGTGTAAATATTTTAGCAGAAAATATTGATTTATTTTTCCTAGTCAGCAGTACCCTCTGTTGATGAACTTTATTACTAATTGAAATACTTGTTTGTAATAAATATGTCGTTTCCTAAGCAGAACGCGACAAACTTAACAATTCTATTTCCTTCTATTTTTCGCAATTTGATTATTAAGGTTGTTATTTTGAGTCCCGGTAATTAACAATAAGCAAACACTATTTTGGCAACGTAAACAATTTTATACAGTGTGAAAAAATCAAATGCATAGACTCTAATCAATTTGTTTAACATGTTTTATGTCTCTATAAAAATTTTAAAAATAGACTGAAACGGTTTTGATATACTTCGCATATTCTGATATGTAGAACTTGTCACAAAAAAGCGCAGATATCAAATAGCGTATAACAAATGGAATTAACATGATCATTAATTATATACTCTAATTATATAATCTAATGTAAATGAATAGCGAAAACTAAATTTATTTAGCATTTTTTTTAACATTTTAAATAATGAGAGCCATTAAATCTTAAATTACATTTTTTCTCTATAATGACACACAACAATAAAGGGATATCATTTTTTTTACTCGATATGATTTATCTTGGATAATTATAACTTATCGCTTAACTTTATAGCATGAAATGCGAAGCGGGATAGCTGCCAAAAAGTTAGCTATTTATTTTATCTCCGATGCCATAAGATATTTCTGTGTCATTAGACTGTTTTGAAACTTATATCTGTAACTGTGCCAAATCACGTCACAGCAACACATAAAATAAAACAAAGCAAAATAACACTTTTTTCTAATAATCAAAGGTTAAATAAATAGCCAACAATATATATTTCACGTAACTTCAAAGTATAGCTCCAAGAGCTTCAAACAATGAAACAATAAGATAGCTTAGTACTTAGGATTGTTAATATTCTTTTCAGTCAGATCAATTCAAAATTATTGAAACAAAAAATAATGTTTAAAGCGATTCTTTAAATGCTGCGACGATCAAGATTTTAAAAAAATGCTTGCTATTTAAAAGTAGAATGGTTGCACTGTAATTTATTTAGTTATAAATTGTTACTTATTAATATATTGAATGGAAAAAATTATTGAGAAAGGATTACTGACACGCAGGCAAAAGCATTAAATGGTGATATAGCTCGTTGGAACTTGAAATATAGAATCTAAAATAACAATTTTTTATAGTACTTGGTCTATACGAGTGCAATGATCGAGTCTAAAATATCGATGTTTCTATAGAATAAAATCTATATTAAAATACCGTTGAAAAATTTCTAAATAACATTACAGGATTTTGGTCGTCCATAATAAAAGAACCAATCCTTAAACAGAAAAACAATCTAAAATTGCCATGTTCGGAACAATTAAATCGCTTCATTTATATTTTTGAGTATTAGCATTACGAAATTGACTGAATAAACATATTATAAAAATTTTGAGTGCTACCTCTTAAAGAAAAATCACGAATTTTTACGATTTTTTTTAAATACAATAATATAAATCACTGCTTATGCGTAATATACCCTTTAAGTCATGCAAAAATATTTTTTATATTTTGGGACAAGGATAGGATATTAATTAAAAACTCAGCGGGCAGGTTGCGTCTGACCTAGAAAACATCTTAAGGTACCCGACTAAAATTTATATACAAAGTTTGACCAAAATATCATCTTTCCACTTTTTACATAAAGTAAAAGTATGGACTTTTCTGTTTCATAATCCATTTATTTTGTTTCGTTTGGAAAGAAGTTATGATGATTTAAAAAATCATTTATATTGGCTACTAAATTGATAACTGTCGTTTGTGTGTGTAAATTGATAACTGTGTTTTCAATTGATAATTTTGTCACCCATTCCTAGAATATTTTTACATATATTATCATCCTCAATATTGAAGTTGCCTATTTGTTCTGCTTCAAAAATCTAGTTTGACATTCAATACTGGTTGGTGAACCTAGGCCCTTGAAGGGGTGATAGCTAGAAATAAGCTACTAAAAGGATTCTTAGAATTAAAAAAAGAAGGTAAAAAAAGACAAGTTTATCAAATAAATGAGTAGTTAATCTAAAAAATAAAGACAAGTTTATTAAGTAAATGCAATTATAATTTATGTGATTTCCACATCTTTGCTTAATTTGTAGCGCACTGCTCTTATATAAGTTAAAAGTAGATAGTTAAAAAAATCCTCACTTGAGCTGCAATATATATGTTGATTTCCACCATTAAATGCTTAATCAATTGGATGACGACTATTAGATAGAAATAGCTTCTCTCCTTTATTCACCTCTTTCCTATAAAAAAGAAAGAAAAATGAGTTTTTTAAACTAATTCACATTTGAACCTCAATAGAAAATGATTTTTGATAGAAAAAAATATCATTTTAAATGGGAACGATTTTTCCGGCTAAAATTTATGAATTTCATTACCTCTTACATCAATTCCTAGTCGTTCAAAATGTTACTCGTTATAATCATATTACCTCAAATTGATTTTCAACGAATTCTTGAATTTTTCATTATCTTCACCAAAAAACAATTCACGTACATAAAAACCAATCAGTAACCCCTTTTTCATTCATGTTTTATGCATTTAGAGTAGATAAGATCAAATCCAATGAAGGCTTTTCCCTTTGAGCAAAAAAAACAATAACTTTTTAGATACTCCAGAGAATTTCTCGAAGCGACCACAATCTTCAAATGAAAATAAAGCAATTGCAAAAGCGAATACTCTATGTGACTGATTTTCTTTTCTCTTGGATAATGAGAAACGCATTTCAACATTTTCAAAAATAGTACAATTTTGTATTGGCTGTCCCCATTGAGGATAAAACTGTAACTTTTCGAAATAGATTATGTATTTTACGGATCATAGATTACTTAATGTATGAAGACATTTATATTCATATTGAAGGTTGAAAAAAGTGTAAAATTATTCATACTTCCCTTACAAATAATTTACAGAAAACAGCATTTATATCTAAAGAATAATAATTTTTATATAAAGCGTAACACAATTGAAGCCCTTTTTTTAAAAGAAAATTGAATTGCAATTTTAATGTTTATAGAAAGTTTCGAAAATTCCCAACATTTTTACATGTCATGACGTGCATATTGGTCTACAATATACAAGCTCGAACGACGCTTTAACTTTTATAGACATCTTCTTCTAATGCATATTAATTAAAACATTTGAATGTAAGTTCTTATTATGTAATCAAAAAAGGCATCAATAGCATTATACCAACATCAGTTAATTTTAATTATAAATATTAAGTATTACTAACTTAAAAGTATTATTCATGAATAAGCATTGATGAAAGTGTTTTGCATTGCTTGTTAGTTGTTTTGCACAAATAAGCACTGATGGGGATAAAAGCATTGAAGCATTAAGGGAGAGCATTATTTCTAAAAGAGAATTATAATCATGTATGATTTTAGTTTTTTTTTCCTCTCTCTGAACTAGGTACCATTTGCTCGACTCATCCGACAATTGTTGAAATTTAAAAGGACACATAATTGTTATTCTACGATATTCCTAGTTAAGCATCTATTTGCCCTGTCAGTCATGTGAAGGTAAAGACTTCAAATCTTTAACCCTATTTCTAAAAAAAATCCTTTTTTACCTTATTTTTTTTAAAAAAAATTGAGCATAATATTAACTCAAAATGCTTTCTGTTGCTTAAATTCAATTTATCTCTGCATTCTACACTAGTGGAGATTATTACCGACTTTGTACACAGTAAAAACCATGGTGTAATATCTATCTAAATTTGGTGTCGAAAAACACTGAAAATTGTGTGAATGAATACTTTATTTCAAATCAATATGGAATCTAGGGGCCTCACACAATTTAAAGGGTGTAGTTAAATCTTAAAACCAATAATTGATAAAGCTTACACCAAATTACAACACGATGGTGAAGAAGTTAGTATTTTCAAGAGAAAGTTTGGCTTTTAATTATAATATATTTAAATTATTTAACTAAATTTGTGTGTGAATTAATTGTGGGGCATGTTTTAAAAGTATTCCAAATGCTTTTGGAATTATTATAAGAAATTTCAAAGCGAATTATTTTGCAATTTTACGATAGCGACAATATGGCGGTTTGTTTATATGGAGTGTGCTGGTGAAATGTAAGTTCTTCTTGTCAGATTAAATAAACAAACTGGTCATAGCCTTTTTAATACAAAGAAAGTTTCAATTCTCTTTACTGATGGATAAAAAAATTATTGACTGTGGTCGATTATTTTCCAAGTAATTTCAATCATGTCCAATTGATTTAACAAACTATTCATATAAACTGTTATAAATGCATGTAAGATTTTAATTGTGTGATAAAAATATTTATGTTCTCATAAGATTTGCAAAAACCTACCAATTGTCTAAAATAATTTTATAATATTTATATTCTATTCACTTCGGTTTCGTTAGAATTCACATTAATATTCTGTCTGTGCATGTTTGAGTAACAAACTAATCTTATTTTAAGAAATATTATATGCATCATCCTAAATTTATGATACTTGCTTTAGATAGTATCGCAAATGTGATATTGCTAATTCTTATGTGCATCATATCTTACTGTAACAATAAACTTTACTGTTGCTGAATAACAAACATGGTCAAAGCTACTTTACACCAATTAGTGTAAAAGCATTCTAGGTGTTTCTCTAAACCAGGAACTATCCTTGGATTTGATATAGTGGATATCTCTTTGCTGCTAGGTAGATTTTTTCTGTTGGGATGCACAAAAATTTTTCACTGTGCAACAGCGTGCGAGACAACAAATTCACGTTATTCCGTAGTATAATAAGAACATATGTTTACAGACACATTTATACATACATATATATATATATATATATTTANTATATATTACATATACATATATTACATATACATTTAACGGCATATATTGTTAAATCTTTTTTAGTTAAACTTATTGATGTACAAGTTAGGGAATTTATTTTTTTCTTGTAAATCGTTTTTGAAAATTGCTTACTTTCTAAATAATTTTCATTTACAATTTTATATTTTATTAATAAATGATCTTTTACAGAAAAATATAATAAATACAATAATTTTGTTTAATTTTATGTTTCATAATTAATTTATTCTTGTTACGTGTAGATAAATAAACGTACAATAGTATTTTAACATCTATCATAATTAACTCAGTATATTGAAAACAAATTTCTATATGAACACTATTCAAACTCCTTTAATATTGTTAATAAGCAAAGATTTAGTGAGTTGTTATTCAAAAATACCAATCAGTACTGTTGGCGAAAGAGATTACTTAACATTAAAAAGGATAATCGACTACTGCCTGGTTAGTTAAATAAAGTTTTAATTAATAATGTCTGTAGATCAATCCTTACAAATTAATCGAATAATTTCTTGATTTGTTAAATATATTATGACAAAAAATTTATACGACTATTAGTAAATTTTTGGATTTGCATGTTGTTGAAATTTTATTCATATATTTGTGAAACTAAGCGAAGTTTATTATCAACTATTTCTTCTTTATATATATTTCTAAATATATAATCAAAGCAGTTATAAAAATTAAATGACTACAATTTTGTTTTGTTATTGTTTTACTTTTTGATTATCTAATTGAAAAAAAATTATTAAAACAATTTAGCAATTCAAGAGTTTAATAAATTGTTATTTTATTAGTACCCTTTGAGAAATTTTTTTAAAAATTTGAAGAGTTGGTGGTTAATTTATATGCTTTGCGAGAAATATTTACGAACATACCTTTTGTATGGTCATGATAGATTTACGGGCTTAAATTAATTTTTACAGTCAGCAGTTGGACCACTTTTTTTCAGGTCATTGACTGTAATCCAGCTGCAAAAATTTTTAGAGTGTGCATAAATTATAAATTTATGTGACTATTAAAGAAATATGATTAGGCAGATTAAGTATTGCATCGATGCATTTAAGAAATGGATCATTTAATTTTACTTTCCTCATCTTATTTAATTGTATAAGTTATTTTTATTCAGATCACATGGCATATTCTTCATTCTTCTTACCATTATCACATATTAATAAATTCTTTTTTTGTAAAATTCTATGAACATTTACTTAAAGTTTGTTTTGGAAAAAGTCAATTACAAGAATGATGTTTCAAAAACCTGAACGGCATTGGTTACCATTAAAAAATAATGTATATCTAAGCTAAGAAAAACAAGAAAAATTCATTAAATTGACCAAACTTTTATGATATTGATCTAGTTGCAAAATATGTAGATTGGTTTCAAAAGTGGAAGAAAAAAGTAATAGCTTAGTTTTTTTCTGGTAAATATTATCTGCCTTCCATTCGTTTCAAAATATTAATCAATAAAAAAATAATAAAAAAACTGCTGCAGGAAAGTTTACTTAACACCCATTTTTTCAACTTGCATTTTTTTTCAATATACTTTCAATTGTTTTTGCAGTTTTTATATATACGTTTTAGTTACTTTTTCTCCATCACTAAACTTCTTAATACTTTTTAATGTTTAAAGAGCTATGTTATCTCAATTATGATTATATGAGCACAATACATTTAAAAAAAACTACCTCATGAAAATCTTTATTTTTATGCTAACTATTGTTTAAATTTTTAAGTCTTGAATAATAAATGGAACTAATAGGAAATTAGTTGGCACCAAAAGTTTCCCCCTCATTGAAAGTATTTTTTTTAAAGGAAAAAGCACTACAATTTGGCAAATTACGTTGAATTATTATCAAAATTTCAGCCTATAAGCACGATGAAATAACCTTAGAAAAACTAGCCTGAAAAATAAATGTGATTTAGTTTAATATGTGATTTAATTGGTGTGATTAGGATAAACACGATTTAGCTTGGAGCATATTTCTTAACTTTTTTAGTGTATGCATTTTTTTTAAGATTTTCCATCATATAAAAGGTATACAAAAATTGATTATAAATCTTTTGTTATTAATTTAAAAAAATAAGAAAAAAATTATTATGTGAAGAATTCTTTTTAATTTTTGCACCATTTCATAATTGGTTAGTTGCAGTTTATTTGCACAAAAACCGGGGAAAGCTGTTCTGCGCATGTCACTAGGTAAGATTTACAATTTTATCAAGGTAATAAAGATTTTTCATGTAATCCAATTTAATTTATAAATTTAATAAGTTTGTGACATATGGAGTCATCAGTCAAGCATTAAAAAATTTGGATAAAAACTGACAAAAATTTTGTTTATTAAGTGTTTGAATCGTTGACAGTCAGCCAAAATTCATCATTTGAAGTTAAATATACTAAATA